GTGGCCTAACCAGTGACCTATACAATGAAATTATAGCCTCTTTAGACTTGTATTCAATATTTCTATAGATATAACTTAAAATCCTATTTGCCTTATCACTAGCAACAGCACACTGCTTGAATGGCTTTAGAGACTGGTCAACCATTACACCAAGATCTCTTTCTTTCATGAAACTGTTAAGATTATTCCCATCCAAATTATACTTATAATTCAAATCTTGATAACCCTCATGCATTATCTTGCATTTATTATATTTAAAACCCATCTGCCATTTATTTGCCTAACTCACTAAATAATCTAATTCCTTTTGTAAATCAGCAGCATCCTTATCACAGTTAGCAACACCCAAGACCTTAATATCATCTGCAAATGTATTGACCATTCCTTCATTTATGTCATTGATTTACATCAAAAAGAGCAAAGGTCCTAAGCCTGAGCCCTGAAGTACATCACTTGTAACATTAATCCACTTTGACTGAACTCCATTTATAACAACCCTCTGCTTTCTTTTATCCAGTTAGCTAACTTATCTCTCACACCTATAGACAATTTTTTACAAGCCTTTTATGTGGCAACTTGTTAAATACTTTTTGAAAATCCAGATACACCAAATCTACACTCTTACCCTCATCTACATAAGCAGTAACCTTTTCAAAGAATGTTAAAAGATTTGTAAAGCAAGATTTTCCCTTAGTGAAACCATGTTGACTGTCCAATATATTTCTAAACTTTGTTAAATGGCTTTGCAAAGCATCTTTTAACAGACTTTCCAAAACTTTTCCCACAACTGATTTAAGATTAATGGGTCTATAATTACTGGAACAATTTTTATCACTCCCTTGAAAAGAGGAGTGACATTAGCTAATTTCCAATCCTCTTATACCTGCCTACTATTCAACTATTTACAATAAATAGTAGTAAGTGGCTCACATATCCAATCTTTAATCTCCTTCTAAACCCTAGGGGAAATATTATCTGGCCCAAGAGCTTTATCATTTTTTAAACTTCCCAATTTTTTTTTAACAGGCTCAAAATTAATGCAGTCATCTTGTCTGACCTTGTTGCCATCTATCAACTGTTCAAGATGAGGAATACTGCTTGTCATCATTAGTAAAAACTGAAGAAAAAGCAGAATTTATTAATCCAGCCATCTCATAATCATCAGATATGAGCCTTCCTCTATCATCCATCAAGGGTCCTACCCCCTCCTAACATTTTCTTTACCCTTAATATAGTTAAAGAAATCCTTACTGTTAATTTTAATATTTTCAGCCAATCATTTTTCATACATCCTTTCTGATGCCCTAATTTCTTGTTTCACCAACTTTCTTGATCTTCTAAATCTCCTGTCATACCAGTCAATTTAAATTTCTTAAGTTTATGACGCTTTTCTTTAATTTTATCTCTCACACTCTTTGTGAGACAACTTGGTTTCTTACTTGCAGCAACCCTTTTCTTTCTATGAGGAATATGGTTATCTTTAATATTTACAAATTTATCTTTAATAATTTTCCACATTTGATCATTGTCTCCAAATAAATCAGCTACCCAATTCAAAACAGATAATTCTGGACGCATCTCTTCAGAATTTGGTTTTTGAAATCTGTAACCAAAATATCATTATTCCTTATCACCATATGCAGCAAAACATCGAATCTAATAGAGCAATGATCACTTACACCCTGATGTTCCTCAATTTCCACCTTGTCAACAATTTCAATATTAAAAGTTAAAAATAAATCTAAGATAGCATTTTTTCTTGTAGGTTCTTTGACCAATTGGTGAAGAAAATCATCCTGAACAGTTTCCAAAAACCTTTCTCTCTCATAGTTATAGTTTGAATCTAGCATTTCCCAATCTATATGAATGAAATTATAATCACCCTTAATTATGACCTCATTAACAGCTGAAATCTTAATCTCATTGTAAAGTTTCTCACTAATTTCATCAGTACCACCTGCTAATTTATAACAAATTCCCACTAAAAGCCTTCTTTCTTTATATCCTCAACTTCAACAGGATGTAACTCACACTTTACATGTAAAGCCACTCCTCCCCATCTCTTTAGTACTCTATCCCTATTAAATAACCTATAATCCTGTATTTCAAAGAAATTTCTGCAATCATAATCAAATACATTTAACTATGTTTCAGTTTTTCCATTATATCAAAATCCTCCATTCCTACAAGTGCCCTAAAGTCATCTATTTTATTTCTTATACTTCTAGTGTTACAATAGTAACAATTAAGCCTATTCTTATAACTACTTCTATACTCATTTCCTATGCTGAACTTTTCTCTACATCTTTTTTTTTAATTTAGTTTATCCTGATCCTCACCACTGTCTAGTCCTAGTTTAAATCTTTCCTCACAGCTGAGTTAATAGGCCTTGCAAAGAAGCCAGACCCTTTCCTATTTAAATGTAAACTATCCATTCCAGAAAGCTACCTTCATCCTTTGAACTGATCCCACCAATCCAACCAGCCTATCTACTCTTCCTTACATATTAACTTAAGCCTAGCATTTAGCCCTAGTGACCTACACATAATTTCATTCCATCAGTTAATTCTTAGCAGTATCCCTGACATAATTTTATTTTCTGTAAATGCCTTTATCGACCCCTTGTACTCATCAATTAGCTCCTCAGACCTACCTTTCCCTACATCATTAGCCTCTACATGCATAATAAAAACTGCATCATTTATTATATCTTTTCCCCTGTCAGTTATATCCTCCACCTGTGCCCCTGCACAGCATAATCTAATTATTTTCTCCGTATTTACTCCACAGACTATCCTATACATATGTCTTATCAAGGAATCACCTATAATTATAACCTTTTTAAGTTTATTATCCACATCCTTCTCTGACCCTTTTGTTTCCCTTCCTTCCAACAGTTCCTCATCTGCACAAGTCAAGGGCTTAAATCCACTATTTTAGTCCTAATAGTACTCTTTTTAACTTCCTGAAAGTCATTGTTAGCTGATGTATCATTTACACATAAAAGTTTAATCTCCTCTTGAAATCTTGCTGCCATTTTCCACAGTTTATCTCTTGCTTGTATTTGAATTAGGATAGCCTCGAACTTCTCCTCCAATCTACAAACTGTACATACAAATTGCACATCTTCAATACTAGTACCAGATTCCTAGTATATACCAGTCATTGCACCCGTCACACCTAACAAACTATGAATGCTTAGCTCCAACAGTAGTCTTAACCATTGTATTTGTAGCCTAGAAATAAATACTCAGTACTAAATGTAAGTACCGTTAGCCTATTGTCCACACTGTTAAGCCTAATATTTTAAGATAAAATATATTAGTTTTGTCACTATTTTATGTTCACACTAAATTAATTAAGTTTATCTTTAATTTTATAGCTTGAAGACCCAGAATATAAACCTTTAGATCCCAAAGCAATTTGTCTGCCACCACCAGCACCACCTACAGAACGACTGCTTACAGCAGTTGAGATATTTTACAGTGCTCCTTCTCATGAGAGACCAAGAAATAGGTTAGCATTTTTTATGTTTTTAAATCTTCATTGAATTGAAGTAAAAAGTTGAGGGAAAATGTTAATTGTATCATACAGCAGTAATTATACATAAATAATGTTAGAGGTGAAACTGAAATCACCACTTTGAAAATAGTGATGAATGTTCATATATATGAAATAGGTGTTCATGTTGTATTGGTAAACTTCAGTCTTCTCTGATGTGTTCAGAAATCAAAACTGATTATACTTACCTATTTCCAAGTCACCCATTTATCCCAAAAATAATCTATTCTGAACTACAAGTATATATATATATATATATATATATCTGTTTTTTTGCTGTGTATACTTAAATGTACTTGAAAGTTTATTACTGTACATAATTTTCTAACTTTTTTTTACCCTTGAAGTGAAGGCTGGGAACAGTTAGGTCTGTATGAGTTCTTTAAAGCCAAAGCTCAGGCTCGAAAGCATCGACAAGACATGATTGAAAGAGGAGAATGCCCACCAGAGGAGCCAATACCAAGTATAAAAAGTGAACAGTATGGAGAAGGAGAACATCCCAGGAAATTGTCAGTAGTACGCCCTTGTAATAGATCAGACACTCCTCCTAAACGACACTACAGGGAAAGCAAGAGGTGATATTTCTGTAGAAAA